GTGTGCCCCAGACTAGCACCTGCCCAACTTTAACTTCTGTATGAATCACCTGGGACTCTTGTTAAGATGCAGACTCTGGGTCAGCAGGTATGGGTGGGCCTGAGATTCCACATTTTAAGCAAGGCCCCAGGTGTTGCGGATTCTGCAGGTCCCTGGACCACTGTAAGAGGAGCAAGGAAGCAGAGCACTCTGCGTGTGCGAGAAGTGGGCCACCTGCTTTCAGGCACGGCTGACAGCCTGCCTGCCGACTGTCCACTTCCTTCATCAAAGTCCCCAAAAGAAAACAGCTTATCTGCCTTTCAGACATTTACCTTCTATTCAGACCTTTGCTCATGCAAATATTCTCAGGCTTGACGATTTCTCCTTCGAGTTAGATTTTTCTTTTGACCAAAGGGGCCCCAATTATATCAATGCACACACATCACTGTCCATAATCTGACAAGCTTGTTAAAGGATTCAGGTTCCTGGGTCCCATCTTGGGGATTCTGATTCTACTGGTCTGTTTTGTGGTTTTTAAACACACTCCCTGGGTGTTGTCTGATGTGCGCTCAGGTTTGGGACCCTGTGCTTTTGGCTGCCCCAGGTGCTTCCACCTGGCAGTTCCACATTGTGCAGTCAGTGGACAAGCGTCTTCCCCAGCTCCCGGTAAAGAAGTGTGCATTCTAGCTCACAGACAAGACCCACGCCAGCTCCAGAGCATCCAGGCCGATGTGTTTGAGAAGGAAGCAGAAGGAAGCACTACTCAAAATTAAGCATGTACTTTTCTGTCTTCTAGGAGATCACAAATGAAAATAGAAAGGTCACAGCATATGACTAACCACCAAAGGACTAACGAGTGCAGTGGGTGGGCAGTGAGCGAGGGAAGGTGTGCACACACAGGCTAACAACTGGGACACTGCTCACTCTCCCATGGGACTCTGGCATCGTTTTGTTCTTTGCAGCTCAGTGGTTTGCCTCAACATGAACCACAAGAGAATCTTGCCAACCATAAAAAATAATCCAATTCACACATAACGGACACCAGATAAATCCTTTTTAAATTGAACTAAGCTGAATCAAGTCCACCGTCAGGCAGTGGTAAATCCACAAAACAAACAAAAAAACTGCAAACCTGTTGAGAGATAAGAATTCATTTCAAAACCCCAAATCTGTTGGAATCTCACAAGATTCTGCATCTTGGAGAAGCAGGAGGAAAATTAAGGAGGAAGATGGCCGGGTCTGAGTTTGTTTCCAAATGGGAAGGACTTTGGTTCTTACGGAAGAGGAGAGGATTGCATTAGGAAATCTGAGCAGGCAGGGCAATGAGGGGCCACGGGCTGCTGCGAACGTCTCCTGGTTTGATTGTCTAAGGAAACTATTTGCAAAGCTCGCTGGATTCACTCCAGATGGCCACAGTGGTGGGGTTGTGGAAAGCAGTCCAAAATATCCCTTTGGTTTGAAGACACCAAGTCCGTATTCCCCAGAGAGGGATGCAGCAGGCTGGGAGGGGCCCCAGGAGCTGAGGGACCTCAGAGCTGAGGGAGCAGCTGGCGCGTGGTAGAGCCCACAGTCACGTTCAAGCAGCCTTTCTCAACCCACCTCTATAAAAGACTTAAGCTTCAAAGATACTTATTGGGTGATTACTTTATCAGTCCTTCCTAGGATGGTACAGAGCTAGTACCATGATGCTTTGGAGAGAAGTCGATGCCTGACAGTAAGGAGTGCCTTGGCACTGGGCTTAAATGCCTCCAGGAGCCTGGCTGAAAGGGTTGCAGGTTTCCACAGCCTCAGCTGAAGGAGAAAGCCTGGCAAAAAGCAACCAGAAAGAATGAATCCTGGTCCCTGACCGGCCTTAGGGCAAAAGTCACCTAGCTGAAGGGGCTGATGAAAAGAAGAGTGGGACAGTGATCCACAGGGAGTGCAGAACTGAGGTCACATTCCAAGAAAGAACCTTTGCAGTAATGGGCCAAAGGTGAAGCCCTAGGTGCTGGGCAAAAGATTTGGTTTTTTGTTTAGTATTTAACTGAGTAGTTCAGCCTCTGCAATGTGCGTGCACACACACACACACGCACAGCGCCAGTGCCAGCACTGAAGGCAAACTGACCATGGGCCAAGAGAGCAACCCCAGCCCCTACTGCCTGCCTTCCATTCTGTTCTCTAGAAAAACCAGCTCCACACACAGACTGGAACGGTGCGGCTCTGTGTCCAGGAAACCCAGCCGAGTTCCCTAATCCAGGGAGGTTACTGTTACATGCATAGCCAGCAAGGCACCCACTCCCAAGCAACCACCTAATGAAAGCCTCATGTGTTGACTCAGGCTGCACAGACACTCTCAGGCTAATTCTAGCTGGGCCTCGTGCCGAAGGTATGACCTCACCGTCAGGAAAACCAGGGACCCCAGAAAGAGAAGACTGGTGTGTGGGCCAGACCTGCTCCTAATCATGACCAGCTGGGATGGATGGAGACCGCACCACCTCTCCTGAAGCCCCTGAGGACCAGGGAGCAGGGCCTGGAGGCCGGGAGGCACAGTCATCTACAGCTAAGAATCCTCAGTTCTGGCCCAAGCACTCCTTTTTTTTTTTCTTTTTTCTTTTGGCATTATCCCCATAAAAATCTCTGTCATTCCACAAGGTTCATGCCAAAGAGAAGTTTAATTAGGTACGGCCAAATCTCTGTGGAGAATTCTCAGTTACAGAAGCTAGGAAGGAAGGATATAATTAGAACCTGACTTTTTTTTTTTTTTAGAGAGCAGCTCAAAAGACCCCATTAACAGAAGGACATTGAAAAGCACCATCCATATCCAGAAGCTGGTATTCCAGAAATTTCACTTACCAGCATCATTTACAAGACACTTGAAGACCCACATTTCAGCCCCAGACTGGGCATTTTTCACTTAGAGCTTTACACTCTTGGGCATTCAATAAGTTGTGATGGCATTCCTTTGTCTACACAGCTTCACATCTTTTTACCTGATGTCATCACAATGAAATAGCTAATGACTTGGGCTTTTGTTAAAAGAACTAATGGAAATTCTCTGGAAGACTTGCTTATAAATTATGCCTTCAGGCATTGGTGGCTGAGTATGATAAGTTGCAAAAAAACCTGGTGGAATTTGAAGTCTCTTAAATTGAATCCCATATAAAGCATTTGCCTGAGTCCCGATGAGCCCTTTGAATAAACCATCATACGAGGTCCCCTGGGACTCCAAGGCCTCATGGAATTAGGGAGGGTTTGCAATGATGTAAAAATTCCCCATGAGCTGGATGACATTGAGTGACTATACAAAGAACAAGGATTGACTTTGATGAAGGCCCTTCAATCTCCTAGGAGTTACTCTCCAACAATTGCCCCAGCTCGTTTTTTATTAAATATTGCTAATTCCATTTGCTTTTAGTACATTTGACTAGGTCTTATTAGAATAGTTGTGGCTGGAATCAAAGCACAAAACCTCAAAGAACTTATATAGTTATATGCATAGCCCACGGCCACAGACAGTAATATGGTAAAGGCCTGGGGGAGTAGGAGCTAGGTGGAGAGGAGAATAGCGGGGTGGAAATGGAGGACATCTTTAATATTGTCAACAATAAAAAATATATATTTTTAAAAGCAACAAGCCTTAGTTCCATATATAGATGTATAGATTTAAATTTTTATTATTTTAAAGAGGAATCTTTTTTTTGTGGAAATATATCTCTAGAATAATGATGGGAGTCAATGGGAAGGAGATTTTGCTATATAGTATGTGCTTTGCTCCAGCTTTTCACAGATACTTCCAAAATGCAAAGAAAGGCCAAATCAAGCCTGCAAAGACAAGGTGATTCACATCTATCAAAGCTGTAAGACAAGGCTAGGTCCATTCACACACCTGGACATCCTGATACAACATCTCTGACCTGAATTAGAAAAGAAATGTCCATGGCTGCACTTGGAGGTCGGTGCTGTGGTTCACTCACCATATGGTCACCCTACTGTCAATCTTCCAACAAGTTCCATAAGATAACAGAAGAAAGCCCAGTCTTCCGATTAGCCTTCAGGCAGAGCACACATCTCCCTACAATGATCTTGGTCCAGAAAGACTTCCTGGCCCCCTCCTCTGCTTTCTTTCACTTGGTATATACTTCATGTTCTACCAAGAGTCCCAATAGTCCACCGCTATGGACCCCTTATGCCCGAGATCAACCTGCTCTTCAAAGGGGGTGAGTGTGTGTGGGTTAAAAAATAATAAGAAGAAAGCTCCTTCCTGGATCTCCAGCCAAGGCCATATATAAATGTCACGAAGGTCACACCAGTTTCAGATAGACTTTTAGGGTGTTAGAGTGGGGGAAAAACCTCAAAGATTATCAAATGTGCTCGTTTTTCAGAATTTTCAAAGTACAGTGAAACTCTTTTCCCCAGTAGGTAAATCAGAAGGAAAAGAAGCTGTTCTATCCACACAATAAAATATGATTTGGCCATAAAAAGAGATGAGGTACTGACACTTGCTGCAATATAGATGAACCTTGCAAACATTATGTGAAGGGAAAGAAGCCAGTCACGAAGGACCACGTGCTGCATAATTCCATCTGTGTGAAATTTCCAGAAGAGGCAAACCCATAAAGATAGCAAGAAAATTAGTGTTTGCCTAAGGCCGAGGGGAGCCTGAGGGGTTGGAAGGGAATGGCTAAGAGGCGCAGGGCTTCTTTTTGGAGTGGTGAAATGTTATAAAACTGATGATAGCATTGGTTGCACAAATCTGTGAATTGTACAGGTTAAATGGGTGACTTTTATGGTGTGTAAATTTTATCTCAATATAGCTGTTAAAGCCAGCCAGGCTTCCCTTATGCTGCTCCCTCTAATGGCCCAAGAACCACCTCTGCAGGCCCCTAGGGTTGTATGGAGTGATCTAGTCCAAGTTTCTACTCCTCAAATGTCCACCAAGACATGAACCCAAGTCTTTTGACTCCAAGTGCAGGGCCCTTTAAACCCAAAGCCCCGCTGATGAGCCAAGGTCCCCTCAGGGAGAGGCTGTGGCCGCGTCTCACCGTCCATGTCCAGGCGCTGCATGATTATGGCCAGCTCCACCTCACTCGGCATGTACCCCAGGGAGCGCATGGCCATTCCCAGCTCCTGCTTGGAGATGAAGCCATTCCCATCTCGGTCCAGAACCCGAAAGGCCTCTCGGATTTCTACAAGGAGAAAGCAAAGAAAGTCCAATGGTTACATGGCTTGGTCTATGGCACTGAAATCACTAGTGATGCTCTACTGGGAACTTTACAAGCAGTGATGTGTCAAAAACCCTTTAATTCAATAAAGGAGTGGCCAAAAGAGGAACAAAAGGAAAGAGAAAAAGAAAATAAATAAATAAATGAAAGGAAAAAAGGAGGAGGAGAGGAAAGGGGATGGGAGGAAAGGGGGTAGAAAAAGAGCTTTGGAAAGAGGAGGTAACTGGCCCGAGCATCCTAAAACACTGTGGTAGGTACACAGTTAGACAGTGGTCCCGGCAGAAAATCAAGCTACCCAAGGACACTCCCTAAGCAAGAATAAGCACTAGGTTTCATCTCTGAGAATAAAAGCTACCTCTTGACTTTGGCCATGAGGAGGAAAGGGGGATGAGTTCCTATACAGATTTATATCTCAGCTCCCTGCTGCTGCAGGAGCTGTGCAAAAACTTCTTCAACCTCATAGTAAGATAGAAGTTAAGTATCCTGCTGTTTTTATTTCATTCCAATAATTTTCAGTTGTTTTATGGCTATAAACAACTTCAGATCGATAAATGTGTCATAAAAGCCCAAAGGACATCTTTAATCACATTCTCCGAGGCTGGCAGGGAATTTGATTCTCTATCTATCAACAGGGTTATTTCACTCCGGCAGGTGGTCTCCCAACCTCTTACCCAACCCAACTTGCTCTGCTTTCCTTCCACCCAGAGTCCCTCCCTCCAGAGCCCCTGGGACGCTAGTTCTGGGTCAGCTGAGCAATTTATCACACCCGGGCAAGGCATGACATGGTGAATTCAAGATCACAGTCTGAAGACGAGAGTTTCATCCATCCATCGTATCTGAGCACCAGACTTGGCCAGCTTTGATTTTTCAAACCCGATGGAAGCCCAGGTATGGCAGCTGCCAACATTCATCATGCCATTCAACAAGTATTGGCTGTCTGTACCTGACAGCACCGTAGTTAGAACCACAGAGAAATAAGCAGAACCTGTTGAGCATTGTGGTTCCCCTTCAGGGCCCTACACTCCAGTCAGGAAGGTGAGAGCCACACAGAAACTCGCAGAAACACTTAAAACTAATGCAAGACATCTGGCCCTAGTCCATCTGGTTACTACTTTTCTAAATATCTGACTTGCTCCCTGAAAATACCTTGAACCACACCCTTTCCCAAATAGGCTTTGCCCTTTCTTATTTATGTTAATTTCCTGTGGTCACTGTAACACCACCACAAACTTGGTGGCTTAAAACAACAGAAATTTATTCTCTCACTCTGGAGACCAGAAGTCTGAAGTCAGTATCACTGGACCAAAGTCAAGGTGTGGACAGGGACACTGGAGGTTCTGGGGGTGCGGGGGTTGTTCTTGCCTCCTTCCAGCTTCCAGTGGCTGCCGGCATTCCTTGCCTTGTGGCCCCACCACTCTATTCCCTGCCTCTGTGATTACACTGCCTTCCCCTCTTTTGTGTGTAATCTCCCTCTGCCTCCTTCTTATAAGGACCCTTGTGTTTGCATTTAGGGACCACCCAGTCAATCCAGGAAATCTCCCCATCTCAAGAGCCTTAACTTAATTACATCTGCAAAAACCCTTTCTCCAAGGTAACATTTACAGGTTCCAGAGATGAGCACCTGGTACTTTTGGGGGCTGTTTTTCAGACTACTGAACCATCCCATCCAGTTCTTTCATCTGAATCACCCTGCCTTGCTCTTTACTTGCCCAAATCAAATTAGTCCTTCAAGGCCAAGTCAGGGGCCATGGAACTCACAAAGAAAGTCTTTGCTCATCACAGCCAAAGTCATCTCCGTTTTTGCCAATCATTCAGCAGGTCACTTGTTCCTTTCACCTGGCCTCTAGAAATAAGATGACTGGTGTAGAAACCAGGACTACTCCTCTGAGCTGCAAGCTCCTCATATACTTCATTCATCTTTGTATGTTCCCACCCACACTCAGAAGGAGGCACTAGACAGACAGCAATGGATGGTGGGTCTGAATAAATAAGGATTGTATGTTGGTAGCAAATCCATCATTGATACTAATTTAGGAGGCTGAATGCCTTCTGTGAATAACTGTGAGCTCCAGCAGAGACAAGACCAGCCAGTGAGCCAGGACCCTCGGCTCCCGGCCAAACATATTAGCTAATTAAGTCTGCAGCCAAACCCTGAGGCCTCAGTTTGCTCATGTGTAAAATGAGCTGGTTAGCCGCGAGGATCCCTGAGGTCCTTCCAGCCCTCCTTTTCGTAGATCCATGGACATCGTTAAAGTGTTTAAGAGAAGAACAGGAAGCCTGTGTTCTCTTTCATACCCTATTAATCTGTTGTTCAAACACCCCTCTTTTTTCCATTGACAATACAGAAAAAATTTTTAGTCCACTCCAAATTCTGAATCAAGGAGTTTGTCTGCACTTTTCAGCTTTCTCATCAACAAAACATGCCCAAGATTACCTAAAGCAGCCATATGTTTTCCTACCAAGTCTCTGATGGCCTAAAAAGAGCTCAGAGCTGCTGCACAGCTTGAGGTCATGGCACACAGCACTCAAGGACACTGCAGCAGAGACCACGACCTCCCGTGAGCCCAGATCCCCGGGCACCAAGGGCAGGAGGATGCGGAGACTGTGTCTCCGGAGGTGGGAGTCAGCCCATGAGAAAGCCAGTCTGGCTCTTCCCCACAAACTGGGACAGTCTTCTCCTCCAGGCTCAATTTCTCCATCTGAAAAATAGGTTGGGCTGGGTCTCCTTTCAGCCTTTATCGCAGGGTTTTACATGGGGCTGGCACATACCATACAACAGTAGGAAATGTCAGATAATGGCAGGGGCTCCACCTGGGTTCACAGAAGAGGCCAGGATCCCAGGTGGGCCAGCTGGAGAGTCAGCCACAGGCAGAGGCCTGCCCCGTGTTCTCTGGACAACTACTTTCCCAAAGCACCATCTCCACTTCCTGTCCCTTTGACACCAACCTGCAGTCTCTGGGCTGTTGTTATCACTCTGAAAGGATGACCCCCTTTTGTTGACAGGGCCTGACGTCATCCCAGTGTTCTCTCTGCAGGCCTAGATCTTACCAACCAATGAGCCTATATCGTTACACTGGGCATCCAGGAGGGGCCTGGTTGGGGGTGTTTGAGAGCTTGGCCTGGAAATGAAGGCCTTGGCGTGTGTGCCTGCTGATCCCCACCCAGCTCCTTAGGCTACTCCCAGAGTTGTCTCACCCTGAGGCTACTGGGTTTGGTAAAGCAGACCGAAGATGGGGTCACCCCAGCATCACCCCGCTGAGAAGAGAAATGCTCTTTCAAGGCTTTGAAACACCATGATTTGTCCCATCTACAGTGTGTAACCAGGCAGGCCCTGCCCCAGTCCAGGACACGACAGGCAGGCACATATCAGCTCCAAGTTTTGTTTTCTGTGTCCCCAAATATGTGGCACAAAGCCTTCCTCTTCTGATTGCATAGAATATCTGCTCCTGGCTCCCTGGATAAAGCTCACTAACTTCACTTCTTTCAAAATATTAGAGTCAAAAAAAAAAAAAAGTACAACACTAGAAACCCATAATGGGAGTCTCCGGAGAGTTAGGATAGGGGAAGCCCAGCCAAACGAGAAGCTTATTAGGAGGAAATGGGTCTTGCAGTCTGAGACATGTGATGTGTGCCTCGTTTTATTTTTAATAGTGAACAGGGTGTGAGAAATATGCCCATAAAACCAGGGGAGACACGAGAGCAGGCCAGGTCCCACTGCCTCCAGCTGCAGGCGGCCAGCTCGCAGCACGAAGGGGCTCTGGCCGCTTTCCACACCCTTGGGAAGTGAAACTGCAGATTGAGTTTTCAGAAACAACCCAGTAATGTGCTGTGCTTTTCACTGGAATACACTCCCTCTTCGGGCTAACGTCCCTTGTGCTTCATAGCTCCGTAAGCGTGCCGTGCGTTTGGTTTTTAATTCAATTTCAGTCTCACACAACACACGCACAGCAGGCACCAGTATGGCAATTCCACCCTCCCCGAGATGCCTAGCGGGCCCCCAAAAGGGCGTGTCTGTGATGGTGATCAGAGTCTGCCCAACAGTCATGGTGTGAAAATAAACATGTTAAGACATCTTCTGAAAAAAGAAATTCATTCTCTGCATATGGAATCTCTCAGAGCCAAAGTCTTCATTCCCACAGGTATCTGTGCCTCTCCTCCTTGGAGTGATGTGATGTTCTGGAGCCAAGCTAGACGTGGTCCTGCTCCAGAGCCCAAGAGATTCACTTCTCATTAAGCTAGTGAGTCTATTTTCTTTACTTTTTTTTCTTTTCTTTTTTTTTAAGAATAGCTTATTGATTTTTAGAGAGAGGAAGGGAGAGGGAGAGAGAGAGAGAAACATCGATGGATCCACTGCCTCCTGCACACCGCTGACCAGGGAATCAAGCCCATAACCAGGGCATGTGCCCTGACCGGGAATTGAGCCGGCAACCTTTCGGTGCACGGGACAACACCCAACCAACTAAGCCACACCGGCCAGGGCACAAGTCTGTTTTCTTAAAGATATCCACAACTTCCTCTGGTACCACCTGCATCCTGATCCACCCTCTGACAACCCTCTGTTCTGTAATGTGCCCTAGGGACATAGCCAATTCAAGCAATAACAACGGCAAGGGCATACCTACCATACGGAACAGACTCATCAATCAATCTGCTGGAACGGCGTGTGCACCAGATGAAATCCAGACCCAGTCAGAGTCAATACTCACTGGCTCATGTCTGGCTTTGAAGAGTGGGCTGAAATCCACAATGCTAATGTGCAAACTCAGATCGGTAACCAAGAACAACAGTTTTGTCATCTCAGTCCCCATTACATGTGAAATCTGCTTATTCGCCACAGAAATGTATCTTTAGGAAGACTGGGCTTTAACCACAAAAAGAGATGGCTCTATTCAACAACAAGATGAATTCTGTGGATACACGTCATTGAGAAATTGCAACACCAGAGATAGACGCAGTTCAGCAGG